GCTGCAAGGGTTTGCAATGCTAATCAAGGTGATTAATTGCAACATTCACACTTGCCTCCAACAGACAAGAGTTCTTTCTCCCATCCTGGACCTACCACAGATATATAAACCTCCCTTGCTTATTTTCCAGTATACCTCACAACTCCTGAGGATGGCTGCCATAGATGTGGCTGAAATGTCAGGAGAGAATACTTCTGGAACATGGTCGTACAGCCCAGAAAACTCACATCAACCCAATGCTATTTGTGCTATTGAAATTATTTGATGTTAATTTATAATTTTTGTGATTTTAACACAAACTCACACACGTGGATGTTCATAGTTCTAAACATACATAGGCCACTTTTTTCACCCCAGTGGGTTGGGTGCTAGGGGCTGATAGTAGCCAGAGTCAAAGCTACCAGTCAGAAGAGTTCAAGCGCATGTTCCTATTTCTTTCTCTTTTTTCACAGGTATGAAGACCTACCCTCACCTTTAAGAATGTGTTGAATAAAATTATTCATTCCCATAAGGGAGAACACATTTAATCAATCTTCCCCATCAGATTCAGGGCCCATTGAACTATTACATTTCCCCAAAGAGGAAGGAGGAAGATTCTGATGGTAATGTGAGATGGGAAGCTGAGTGAGGACCTGCAAGGCTATAGCCTTCATGCTGATAGAGGTGTTGTGGTGCAGCAGGTGTTCGAAAATCCATGATAATCTTCCTTGCTTGGCTGCCCCCACCTTCTTGCTTGGTGTGGGAGCAGCTAAAAGGTAAGTCTGGTATGAAAGACCAAATAGTCCTCTCAAGTCCATTAAAGGACTGGAGAGAGAAAACAACAGGGGGCTAGATGAGCATTCCTTTCATTAGTGTGTTTGCACATTTGAAGAGCCCCTTATCTTTCCATTCTTTCCATTTGCCTACATACACAATGCTCTTACACACACACACTTTCACAAAGACAAACATGTTATTCGTACAAACTTGGTTCTTGGGTACCCACTGCAATACCCAAGAACAGTTCACTAGATGTAAAACATCTTTAAAAAACCTCAGATACACACCATCTGAAGAAGACTTAATGAGAGAGCTACTGTCTTGAGTTAATGCAGCCAAAAGTAATCTTATTCGGTACCATTTCTGCTTTGCTTAGTAAAATAACATATAGTTTCTGAAGTATTGCAGAAGTAGAGAGAAAAAGCACCAAATGCCAACCGCATCAACTTCCTAACAAGCTGTTTAAATTACAGTTGATGGTTGATGGTGTTGCAAAATCTCTTTAAAGTGCAGACGGTTATATGGTGTGGTGTAATTAAAACAAATCTGGCCTGTGAGAGTAGCCAACAGCTGCATTTCTTGGCCACATCTTTCTCACAGCTGGAATTTCTAATACTCTACAGGATACATCCAGCGGGCGGCTTCTTTGCGATATCATTCGTCTTTCTTAGTCTAGAGCTTTGACACATTTTGACAGTTCTGTTAGTAATAAGGGACACGGTGCAGCAAATCATGTACCCATTTTGAAATTCTGGAGAAACAATGCCATTTTCAAGCGTTATGCTATTATGGCCATCATTAGGGGACCATTTTGAAAGCACCCCACATGGAAGTTACCTGTCACCAAGTGGCAGCCACTCAGCACCCTGATGGAGCAATTTCCTCTGTGCCGCTACAAAAGTTACTTTTCAAAATAGTGTGGAGAACATTGATTGATCTGAGTGAGTTGGAGCTATAGTGGGACAGCTGCTAAAGGAAACAATGTGGAAAGCAGCCTTAGAAAGTATTAAGGCTGCATTCTTATTCACACTTACTTGGGAGATAAGTCTCTCCGAATTTGGTAGGACTTAATGCTGATGAAACACACATAAGAGCTGGGGCTCCAAATGGTGTTTGTTAGGGAACAGCCTGGACGTGTGCTTTTGATGTTGGTTGCTGGGAAATTTTAGTCCCAGTTCCAATGTTGGGTTTGTATGGTCACTTTGATGTACTTCTTTATCACTAGTCAGTACATTCTGCTGCTCTCAATGAACACATGCTTTGCTTATTCACTGAAAAAGCAAGATTAAATTTAAGAACGTGAATTTGACATATGCTGAATTTACAGTTCTTGCATGAAAGAACGGAAGCAAAAAGCATGTATGGAATTTAACTCCAGCCTGGCCCACAATGCTGAGCAGGCTATTACCCTCCAATTGTCAATGACATTCAGCTAATGCTAGCAGTTCTTTATGAAATATTATTTTTGCCCTTATTTCTTCCAGTAGATATTCCCCCATCCCCATGCTATATAGTGAGCATTTCTCCTCACTTTTTGTAACTGACTGTGCTAGTTAAGGCTAACTGAGTTGCAGCCCACCTACATTTTAAGGACCAGATACTACTAGAAAACACACAAGACAACAGGAGGAAAGGTGGCGTTGTGTGGGTTCACAGATGACCATGTGAAGAACTGTACTTTCAGATGAGCAACCTTTACTCCTTCTCCATGTTCTCTGTGATTCACACAAATGAGATATTAGCAACCTACTACCCCCAGGAGCAGAGAATGTCGTGCCACACAGGAGAAAAGCACAGCCCAAGTTCTGCTTGAGATCTCAAGTCTCGTCCATAATGAGAAATAAAAGTCAAAGGTTGAGACTAGGTGGCTTCTCTACAGATACCATGTGGAAGCAGTCCCCATAAGAAAGTGGCCAACACAGCAATTGCTTCTCAGTTGTATAGTAGTGCTTCCCGTTCAGTTTGTAGGCCAGATAAATATCTGCAAACCATTTAGAACATCTTTGGGGCAAGACTAACAAACCCTTCTTAGAACAGTAAGAACAGGCTCTGAGATTTCCTAAACCAGTGGCTCTCAATCTGTGGGTCTCCAGATGTTTTGACCTTCAACTCCCAGAAATCCTAATAGCTGGTAATCTGGCTGGGATTTCTGGGAGTTGTAGATCAAAAGACCTGGGGTCCCACAGGTTGAGAACCACTGTCCTAAATGAAGCTATCTGGTCCACATAAAAATTAAGGTCTAGGCAATGAACAGAATGTTCCAAATCAGTGGTAGGATTCTGCCAGATAGACCAGTGTTCTGGTTTAGATGAAATGCTGATCACTGGTAAAAATGAATTGTCCGATCTGAGTAGCACTTTGTCTTTGCAAAATCAAAAATAATCCACTTTTGAGTTCAAAGAGTCCACCTGCTCCACTGGTTGCAGAAATTGCCATCAGAAAGGCAGTTTTCAGGTATGTAATCTGAGGTCACAGGAGACTATATACTCAAAGGGTGAGCAAAGACAGTCACAGTCTCTAATGTGATGTCAGCTCAACTGGGCGCAGGTTTTTTTTATATTCCTTTAAACATTTTTAAATGAAGGGATTCAAGAAACACAAGGGCTTTCCAAGGCACTGAAAGTGCCAAGGAACTGTAGCCACATAGCATCACAAAGAAGAGAGTCATTCTCATGCATTTTTTGAAACTTAAATAAGTATAGCACTAGGTCCTGTCTGATCTTGGAATCCATGCAGGGTCAACCCTGGTTAGTCCTTGGATGGGAGACTGCCAATGAATACCAGATGCTGTAGGCTATTTCAGAGGAAGGAATTGGCAAAACTGCTATGAGTGTTTCTTGCCTAAGAAAACATGGAATTACTCCATGTATGTAACATTGGATTTAGTCCAATATTTAGGATTCCAGATCCGCTATGAATAATTATAATGTCAGAACAACCTTTTTTTGCACATTGGAGGTGCAAAAAAAGAGATATAAATGTGTTTGTCTCAAGAAATGAGAGGACAGGATGTCTCTCACAATAGCATATGCTGACAGAACAAACTGAGGAGGAAGAAAATATTTTGAGGGAGAGGAAAATATTCACCTATGCGACATGGAAACCCGGAGGTTAAGAGACACAGCCTTGGAATTAATTACTTTTTCTTTTGGCTGATCATGCCTGTAACACTGTTGTCTTTCCGGGAGCATAATTGTTAGTACGTTTACTTTTTTGCTTGTAGCAACCTCTCTAGTGTCATATTGTAAAGGAAACACTGGTATACTTATCCACACCCTGTTAATAAATTACTTTGAAGCCTATGCCTGATTGTGGTTTAAAGGAAATGGGAGAAACTGAAGACTGGCCTTTCCCCTCTCTATAATTATTAACACAACAAACTGAAAAATGCTGATTATATGTCGAAACTTTTGGGTGAACTTAATATTTTTTTTCTTTCTCAAACAAACTCCAGTATTAAAAATGACCAGAATTCATATGATAAAATTCCATGAAGCTGCACATTAAAAGCAATTAGCTATTGTATTGATTAAGGGAACAGGGCCAGCTGCCAAGAACAGCTTCTTTCCTTTCTGCCCAAGTTTATGGTCGCAGTTTGCACAACCTCTTTTCAAGAATTCTTTCTAGAAAAGAAGAGTGTAGAATTGCAAATTCTGGGATGTGCATACACTTAGGCATGGAATAGCACCCTCACATTTGCAAACACTGCTTTGTTTAATGTATTGTCAAAGGCTTTCATGGCCGGAATCACTGGGTTCTTGTAGTTTTTTCGGGCTATATGGCCATGGTCTAGAGGCATTCTCTCCTGACTGCTTTGTTTGGTTAGGTTTTGCAAAATGGTAGAACCTATAACCACAAACATAGTTTTTCTTTCCTCAGTTTGCAAATACACTCTGTTCTTCAGTTTGCAAATACACACTGTACCATAGATAGGCTTGATTCCCACCCCCTATACACTGTGATTCAGTCTGTGAATTTTTTGATAGTACTGTCACAATTTGGCATGGACAGATATAGACAGGAAGTTAGTTCTGCATTGCATATACATGTGGATGACAGGAGTAAAATATTTACTGTACTGAGCTTGGAGACCAGATGCTACTTTATACTTAAGAGACTTTGAAAGAAGAGAAAGACAGAAAGTCCTGCAATTCATTATATGTGCCTTTGGCACAAGAGTCAATTTTGAAATATACAGTAGTGCAACCAGTAACAATTACATGAGTAAACCAAACCCATACCTGGCTGCACTGTAGTGTCAATTGCTGTTGACCTTTCTGTTATCATAGCTGTGGTACTGCCTGAAAAGGAATTCCATACAGTATGTTACACAAAGCAGCTAAGATAGACACATAAATCATAATAAAAGTCCTTTGTTTGTACACATAGCTATATGAGCATGCAGGCATGAATTCACCCATTCCTACCAAATGAAGCAATAACATCTTGTTTGTTCATGTTTTTGAGAGAGATGCTTGATGAAAAGTATTACCAGGGTTGTTATCCTGCATATCAGCTGACCTGGCTATCTTCTGCTAACTTATTAACAGTTAACCCTGTGTTTAACCTTTCATTACATATGTTGCAAAGACAGAGACATTGGACAATTAAAGGAGAGTGGAACACAGAAAGGTGCAGAATGCAGACATGTTGTTTTCTGTTGTTTTTCTTACCATTGCTGTTATTTAAACAAACCATGATAGTTCTCAACTTAGATAGATACGGATGTTCTGAAATAAACTGTGAAGGCTATAGTATCAACAGAACCTAAAAAGACATTATGGCTGCATATATATAGAGTGACTCTCTCCTTCTTGCTTGTTGTGAAAGTGACCCATTCTGGTAACTCGCAGGAAGCCCTGTGGCCAGTGGAGAACAGCAGCAGTGACGAGCCATCCCCTTTCTTGCACCATGAAAAGGTAATGGCAGTGGTATCTGACTAGACAGTAAACCTGATTCAGCTATTCAAATATCAAAAAATCCACAGGACATCCCAAGAATTTCTTGTAAACTCTAGAATATTACCCAACTTTACCTAAGTTGCCCCTGATGGTACAATGGGTTAAACCTTTGTACCAGCAGGACTACTGACTGAAAAGTTGGCGGTTTAAATCCGGGGAGTGGGGCGAGCTCCTGTCTGTCAGCTCCGTCATCTCAGGTGGGGACATGAGGTAAACCTCCCACAGGATGGCAAAATGGTAAAACATCCAGGCATTCCCTGGGCAACATCTTTGCAGATGGCCAATTCTCTCACATTAGAAGCAACTTACAGTTTCTCAAGTTATTCCTGATACAGAAAAAAAAACTATGCCTAAAGCAGAGCAAAATTGGATTAAGGGTAGAAGCTTGGGAAACTTGTCAAAAGTCCCCATGCATCATGTAGACAGCCAATGCCAGGTGAGGTTTTTTTCCCCATGTAGACGAGTCTTAAGTTAAGTTTTCACTGTAGGTGGAATATGTCCAAATTGTTCAGATCACATCTAGGGGCCATGGCAGTAATCCTGTCCTGTGAGCAGCTTTGGTTTCTCATGGAAAGTGTTAAGTGGGTGTCACATACCAGTCCTTCCCTTGCATCCAATATGAGACAAATGTTTAGTGCAGATGTTTCACATCAAAATGATGTGCGTACAGTTTTATTTCTGGTTAAGGACCAATAATGCAAACTATGCTTTTAATTACTGTATGTATGTATGTATGTATGTATGTATGTATGTATGTATGTATTCAGTATACCACTTTCCTCCCAAAATTGGGACCCAAGATGGCTTGTAATTTGAAAACAATTTAATTTGTATAGTCAAAAGCTTTCATGGCTGGAATCACTGCGTTGCTGTGAGTTTTCCGGGCTGTATGGCCATGTTCTAGAAACATTTCCAACAGATTTCCCAACAGACCTCACAACCTCTGGGGATGCCTGCCATAGAGGCAGGTGAACTGCCAAGAGAGAATGCTTCTAGAACATGGCCATACAGCTCGGAAAACTCACAACAACCCAACTGAACTTGTTTTACTACAAATAAATGTGCAAGGTCAATGCACCTGTGTATCATTGTTAGTACACATTCACATACTGAACCATTTTTCAGTAGTTTTGGAAGACAAACTTTTCTCTTTTTGAAACATATAGAATAAAACTTCCTTTTAAAAAGGAGAGCGGAATGTATCAAGCAGTAAGCTCTGCTGATTACTATCAGCCAGGCCTTCCTCCCAGCCCTGCAGGGAAGCGTTGAAGTGCTACAGTGAGTATGATTGTGATGGGGTTTAATGAAGCTGCATTACTTCTGTGCCTGGCAGTAGCAGTGATGTAATAAAGTATGTGATGGGGATGTGAGATGTGCAAGTTATTTATATCTAGATCTCTAAAACAATAGATAGATAGACCAAATAGACATGTAGCACCAATGTTTGTCTTTACTAATAAAAAACCTTAACTGAGTCAGTAAAAGAAGCAATTAGCTCTAAGTTCAGTTGCAATTATGTACTTATGTAAGTTTATGTTGATGCGCTTTGATAATTACTTTCTTCTAGATTTGTGCAATTTAACAGAACCGGAAGAGCACAATGCCTTAACACTCAAGATTATTTTTAGAAGTGATTAAAACATTCTTTGTACTCCCTGGTTTCTTTGTGGGTGGCAACACGTACAAATACATTGACCTGCTTTGCAGTAATGTCGTTTTTAAAGTTCATATGTGTCTTTCATCATATATAGGTACTGCACAAACATAAAGCCTTGTACATCCAATTGAGTCTATATGTGACTGATCCAACCAGTTGTTGAGCATCTGATTTATGGCTAACCTATTATGGGATTATCATGGCAATATTTTTCCAGAGGGCATTTGCCTCTGGCTTCCTCTGAAACTGAAGTTCCATCTTCACCAGGCATGGACCAACTTTGGTCCTCCAGGTGTTTGGACTCCAAGTCCCACAACTCAACTTAAGCGGCTGAAGGGGAAAAGGAAAAGGCATGAGGCTGTTAGGAATTGTGGGAGTTGGAGTCCAAAACACCTTGAAGGCCAAAGTTGGCCCATGCCTGATCTACACTGTTGTATAATGCAATTTCAGAATGTAGTATGACTACATTGAACTGGATTATATAAATCTATACTGTCATATAATGAAGTTCAGCTGCATTCTGAAACTGCATAACATGGCACTGTAGATGAGACCTGAGAGAGAGTGACTTATTCAAACTCACCAAGTTGGTTCACATGACTAAGCAGGGTTATGAACCGTGGGCACCACTACACCACATTGGTTCTCTCCTTGATCCAACCTACAGCGAATAATATTATGAAATCTTGTCTTTAAAAATAAGTATTTCATAAAGGATTATTTCTAATTCACAAAAGTAAATTAACCATAGTTTTCAAAACTCAGAAGAGTATTTTGCTACTTTTGGATTACTGCCTAAATGAGAAAGTAAGTCATCTTGGCCAACTTTAATTTGTAATTTTTGATACTAAAAACAAAACCCACAATCGACAGATTCCTCTGTTGTGAGCCTTTAGAAAAATATGTTGTGTGTGTGTGTGTGTGTTGTAGCCCCCCCTTCTTGTTCAATAGCCCACTAAAAGGGGAAATAAGACCTTCCCCAAGCTTCTGAGCAATGCCTTTGCTACCTGGCGAAGGTTATCTAAATTCCTTGGAGTATGCACTCCCAGATTTTATTGGGTTAGAAATGTAGCTTTGCAAGCTGTACGGATATATAGGCAACTATAAATGTTTAGCCTTCCAGCTCATCAGGGAGTGATCGTGAAAATAATACATAACAGAATGAAATTGAGGTCACTTATTTGTAGGTATCTAGGTCTGGTTGTAAAGAGGTCCTACATAGCAGCTTAGACATATCGCCTTTTGGGACAAGAGAGTTCCAAATAGCTACTTCAGTCAACCTCATTATATGGCACATAAAAGAAACAGATATACTCTGGTCTTCATAAAAATGAACCCATGAGAGATTTCTGCTTTCTGCAGGTTCTATTTCCTTCTAGTGGTTTATAGATTACATTGTGTCTCTTCAAAGGAATACAAAGGATGGACCACTGGTCAATTTCAGTTTAGTCAGGGTTATTTCCTCCTGGTCCCAATGATCTCATTACTTAATGGAAATGGAATCTACCCCAGAGTAGAAGGACCAGAGTTGAGAAAAGGAAAAATGTATCTCGGCCAAAATCCCCCATAGCACTAAACTGCTTTTCAGTCTAAACCCTTAAGAGAAAAGGACTAATAAAAAGTAAAGTAATTAGCCATATCTTGGTGGTGGTGGTGGGATCCCTGGGTATTTGCAAATCTATACATTGTGGTCAAAATGAAATTTAAAAGCCCTAAGATTTTACTGCAAACTGTAATTAACTGAATTTGTAGATGAATCAATTAACATTTTAGGGGGCTAATCAGTAGAAGCAGATTTTAACTGATGGACTCAGAATGAAAACCCAGACTGGAGTTTTTTTTTTTTGTCAGAGGCTGCTCTGTTGTTAAAAAATAGATGGAAAAATCCTTAAAGATGGAGTTTCATTTCAATTTCATTTTTAATCTTGATGCTGCCTTTCTACACAGCTGTAGCCAAAGTGAGTCATAACACAACGAGAGTGGCAGCTTTTGTTTAACAAAAATGTACCTCATTCCATACTTTCTTCACTATCTCCCCGAGGTGCAAACATACATATATTTAAGACAAGAAAGGAGACTGCAATCGAACAGATTAATTAAGAGATTAAAAGGCAAAGAACAGAGCAACTCAAAGGTTTTTTTTATCAGGCTGAGAGTGTTGATTTTTTTTTACACACATCAAAATGAATGGATTTGCACTGCGAGCAGACTTTCCTGTCTATATCGAAAGCTGTAATTGTGATAAAAGCAACCAAATAGTGTAACTGTCAGTTGATGTGAATGGAAATGGTGCTGCTGTGAAATGTGGATGATTTCTGCACCTGTCAACTGGAAGTCATCACCTGTTCCACTGTGGCAGTTGGCTTGGTCATCATCACACTCGTCCACAAGGTTGCTGTCAGCCGTGGTTGGGATTGACGTAGGTACTGAAATTAAAAATAAAACAAAACAGTGTGACTCAGTTAAAACACACTCTTGGACCAAAGGGATGACTCTATGATGAATGCAGTTGTGTTCTACAGTAGCAAGACCTTTCACTTTGTACAGGAAACTTTCCTTCCTTTTTATCATCTTCCTATTCCCTGTCCTTGACCTTCCCATTAACATGGTCTGCTGTTTACAAAGAGATGACTAGAGAGGAAAGAACAGGGAATCTAGTAAAAGAAATTTTTCTGTGGAGGCAGCAGGAGCTGACACCGCTATTATTGTTGTTATTTGGAAGCTAGTAAAGAAACATACTCCGTTTATCTTGGAAAAGATAACTTATATTTTTCTTACCAAATTTTAAAGGTAAAGGTAACGATTTCCCCTGACATTAAGTCTAGTAGTGTCTGACTTTGGGGGATGGGGGTGGTGGTACTCATTTCCATTTCTAAGCCAAAGAGCCGGCGTTGTCCATAGACACCTGCAAGGTCATGTGGCCAGCATGACTGCATGGAGCACCATTACATTACCGCAGAAGCGGTACCTATTGATCCACTCACATTTGCATGCTTTTGAACTGCTGGATTGGCAGAACCAGGGGCTAACAGTGGGAGCTCACCCCACTCCCAGGATTTGAACCACCAACCTTTCAGTCAGCAAGTTCAGCAGCTCAGAAGTTTAACTTGCTGTGCCACCTGGGGGTCCCAAATTTTAAGTAGGCTAAAATAACAATCTTAAACTTTCAATTTTAACTTCCACTCAAACCCAGCAATGATGGGTCCCATTGGTAGGATTAACAGATAATCCAAGTTGAATCAGAATTTATTGTGCCTGTTGTAGAGATAGAGTTCTCAGTAATAAAAATGTCTACTAGAGAAACAAGAAACCAAATGTGTCTCACTCTGTGGTATCATGAGCAGAACTACATGCAGGAAAATAATTACTGTCTACAGATTAATCTTAGGTAGTGCAATTACCTTCAATTTCACAGCCCAATAGTTCCATCCTCAGTCCCAATCCACCATGGGTGGCTCTTTCGGGATAAACACGGATAAATCTGGTTGTTATAGGTTCAAAGGTACGGAGTTCAGGAGTATCATAGTTAGTGTTGCCTTCAAATACCTGCAGAGGGCAGATGCACACACAAACACATTTTGTTTAATAATCACATAGCAGTTTACTAAGATTTTTCTAACCTTAACTCTGACTCTCTCCACTTGCCAAGCGGCTTACACATGTTGGTTGTATTGCGAAGATGCAGTTTAAACTTTAGAGATAGTAGGATAAGACTGACTCCTGTAGAACAAATTCCGCACTCTTCATGTAATCTACTTCTGTAATGTACAAAGCACCCTTGAGTATGCTATGGCCACTGTGGCACAATGGGTTGCTGAACTGCTGACCTGAAGGTTGGTAGTTGGAAGCCACAGAACGGGGTGAGTTCCTACTGTTAGCCATAGCTCCTGCCAACCTAGCAGTTCAAAAGCATTCAAATGCAAATTTGAGTAGATCAATGGGTACCACTTTGGCGGGAAAAGGCAGAAAGCATTAATGCCAGCCACATGATCAGGAGATGTCTATGAACAACACAGGCTCCTTGGCTTGGAAATGGAGAAGAGCACCTCATCCAGAGTTGGAGATGAGCACTGTCTCCAGAGCCAGAAATGAAAGGAGAAGCCTTTGCCTTTGTCTGTGTAGTTGTGTCTCATTGTATTTCATTGTAACAAGGCATTGAATGTTTGCCTGTGTCTGTTTATATGCTGTAATCCACTCTGATTCCCCTTGAGGAGAATGGCGGAATAGAAATTGTTGTTGTTGTTATTGTTGTTATTACAACTCCTACTTTAGAGGTTAATTATATGCATATGACCAATAGCCAGTATTTTCTGATGATACAATAAGCCATAATATTTTAGAGTAGAAAATGCTCCTCCAAACACGAAAAATGTAAGTTTTATCTGAGCCGTAATCCTAATGCTGGAATCTCCCAAAATCTTTTGTCTTAATTTCGTTTTACCTGATATTGCTGCCTTTAATTCTGCATTATGAGAAATTCTAAATTCTATTCCTGCACAAGCTAGTCAAACCTGGGTTTCTTAGAAAATGAAAGATGCATAGAAATATGTAGAAAAGAAATATAAAGCATATGCATATGTTTTACATTTCTTTGAACAAAGGTTGGCTCGATTACAATCACAGTCTTTTGGAATCCAGACTGAAAAAATAATGGCATTTTAGGGAATCTCCAGATTTTAATCTTCCTTCTTCCATACTATACTTTGACAAGTGCTTCAGCTGTCAAAACCCAAAGTCCTTTAGGAGCAGAACAGCACATTCCTTTTTAATGACCCAGAAGCCAAGAAAGTAGGGGACAAAAGAGGGGAGGAAAAAACACCCGAACTTCGCGCCCTTTTCATCCATGGTAAATTTGAAGGGGGGAGGGTTGTTACAGGAAAAGACCAATTACTCTTCATATACTTTCTGTATGTATTACTAGTGTCTCCTTCAAAATGAATGTATAGGAATGCACTGGATCCTAGCGATTCCAGAAATAGTACCAATTTTGCACATTAATATAATAATAATAATAATAATAATAATAATAATAATAATAACACTTTATTTGTACCCCACTACCATCTCCCCAAGGGACTCGGCGCGGCTTACATGAGGCCGAGCTCAAACACAACAATACAAGCAATAATAACAACAAGCAATTAAAAAAAACATAGACAATAAAATACACAACATTATCAATAAGACAAAACACAATTAAAAACAGTGGGAAGGCCAAATGTAGAGTTAAAATTGGAAATATTGCTGCGACATGGACGAAAGGTGATAAATATACTGACTTCTCAAACTATTGTGTCACTGTTTATTCATTGTGTTTATCCTTAAATGATATAGAGACAAAGGGTGGCTCTACACTGAAGAATTAATGAAGTTTGACACCACTTTAATTGCCATGGCTCAATGTTATGGAATCATGGGAGCTGTCATTGTGCAGGGTCTTTAGCCTTCTCTGCCAAAGAGTGCTGGTGCCTCACCAAACTACAACCCCTCCCCCCCGATTTAATAGCATTGTGCCATGGCAATTAAAGTGGTGTCATATTGAATTAATTCTACAGTGTAGATGTAAATCAGAATGGGAAAGTTCTGGCTCATGGGGAAATTCTGACCCACTAGGTTGGCCTATGTGGTCCTTAGGATGATTCTATGCACTATTCATCCCTGAAGCTCTACTAACTCAGAAAGGAATAGGATCAGGAGAACAACAGATCTGTAGCTCTAAGGGTCCATCTACAGGGCCCAATTGAGTCATTGTGGGGGTGAATGGTCCTCATGTTTGCCACATGATCCACAGGACTCGGTGCTGGAGAAGTCCATTTAACATGCCCGTGTCCCATATTTTAAAAGTTGCAGGATGCTTTGTAGCTTCCCTGAAGCTTTGGGGCTTGCCAGTGTAAAGAGTTGGGCACCTTCCTATTCAGAAGCAGCCAATGCTGTTCACATAGCAATACCGCTTTCCCTGGTCATGTGATTGTTTTGTGCTGAAAACTTAATTTCCTATGCAGTAATCAACTTTTTTTTCTATGTAGAAAATAGCTGTTTACAGTGCTGAAAAATGCTATTCACACAGCAATCCCACTACACAAAATAGGCATAAGAATTTCAGACTGAAAAAGTTTGCCAACTACAGTCTTTTCTGTACAGAAAATTTTGCTTTCTGTGCAAAACAGTTATGTGTGAATTTTTCTATTTGCATTCTAATTGCCTCACCACATTGAGGCTTTAATGTGGACAGCATTCTGGGAAATGTAGTTTGGGAAGGCAAGGACCCTGTGGCAGGTAATTCAAAAGGCCCCGCCCTAAACTACATTTCTCAGAATTCTGTTCACTTCAGAAGACCAGGGCTGCCCATGTTAAAGCCCCAATGTGATGAGGCTGCATATATTGGTTTAAATCTGTAATTTAAAAGGAAAATGGTTGGATGGTCATTGAACGTGGAAAAGCATAAAATTATAATAAACCAAGCATCAACATTTGCCAGATTGGGTACTATAATGAAGGTTGTAGAAATTGGGCTACATTAATCCTGTGTAGTAGAATTACTTATTCAGACATAATAAATACTGTGCATTTATTCCAGCAATCCCCATTTATTCAGATATAAATCCTAATGTATTGAAAAGCTATGTTTAGGACTATTGCAGCCTCAGTGTCTCAAAATCTAATAGAATCAGTCGATTTCCTAAGAGCATTCAGTAAATACATCTCATTAAAGAGGATGGGGAGGGAGTGGTTATTTATCTCCAACTAATTCTGAGTTATTAGGATTTATTTTACAGTCAAATTTTGGTTCAAATATCACAAAAGCCCCCTGCTGCATAAAACAGGCTTTGAAATGGAATGCTATTTACAGCATAGGTGCAGGTAATGGAAACTATGGAATCTAGCTTTAATTATCCTTTAAACAGCAATATGTAATAATGGAAACTTTTCTATAAAAGGTTTCAGAACGATGTACTGTCACACAGGCACATAATTCAATAGTCATTTAATGGTCCCTTGAATCCTAATTAAACTGAATCATTGTCTTGTGTCAGCTGTGTAGTCTAGACCTATCTGTGATTTAATTATCATTGTTCATTCATACGCACCAATCATTTCAGAATGGAGTAAGGAGAGGAAAGATGATATTATTTTGTGTACTGCTAGGTTTATTGGATTCCTTCAAAGACACTGAAAACATTGATAACAGGGAAAAATGAAGCTATCTTATATTAAATTATGTAATCAAGTATTGTGTTGGTTAGTAACTAATCAGGTATTACATAACCAGCCTTAAAAATCTAGTCCAGAGTCTGGAAGACTTACATTTTGATTGCAACTCCCCAAATCTCTCAGTGGCTAAGATAGCTGTGAGATACTGGGAATTGCAATCTTAAAGTAACTTTTTCAAGTTTTCATTTACTCTGACTAGTAGTGCCCCTGCAGAGCACCACTAGTTCTTGACATGTTGGTGATCCAATATCAATTTTTAACTGGTGATGAAGGAAAATACTTGGTATGTAGATGATCCAATCTCACTTTTTAACTGGTGATGATGAAGTCTTTAAAACAAAAATAATGCCAGCACTTATATTTGGGGCTGAAATTTGGGGGACATCAATTTGGCCAAGATCGAAGCCTTCCAAGTTAAGCACCTTCGCACCTTCCTGGGCCTTTCCAGAACAACGCTGACGGCGGCAGTAAGGGCTGAGCTAGGAATACTCCCAGTCAAAGCTCAAATCTTAATGAGACAGTTTAATTACTGGTCAAAAGCAAACTCTATGGATCCCAGTAGACTTCCTTGCCTATGTCTAGAGGATCAAGTCCAGCGTGACCAGAAGTCATCGTGGATGGCGGCTCTGAATCATGAGTTGGCTGGATTCGGTCTGCCTTTGCAATTTCTGGGTGTTTTGGGTCCAGGGGCAGGGCAAGTGCTCAAGTGGCGCATCCGGGATGTCTATGCACAGCTGGACCTAGAGAGCATAGGTAGGTCTTCAGCCACAAGGTTTTTAGCTTCCCACAAAAGGAATATTCATTTAGAGCACTACCTAACTATTCCACTTCCACTACCCTTAAGAAGAATATATACTAGGGCTAGGTTTGAACAAGATTCTGACTATAAATAGAAGGTCAGCTTCTGTCCTCACCTTTTTGCCTTGTTTTTTACTCGTGTTCTATTTTGAAATGGTCATATGACTGATCAAATAAATAAATAAATATTATTATAATAAGTGGTGATGATGACACAGGTTGAACCTGCTTCAACTGTTCTACCAAGTTAAACGGAAGTTTTTAGAGACTCCAAAAGAGGCATGAGATTGTGGTTCCAGATTATCATAAATAGGACAGAGGGGACAACTAAAGTTTTTTTTGTGTTAGGTGCAACTTGAGAAACTGCAAGTCTCTTTTGGTGTGAGAGAATTGGCCGTCTGCAAGGACGTTGCCCAGGGGACGCCCAGATGTGTTACCATCCTGTGGGAGGCTTCTCTCATGTCCTCACATGGGAAACTGAAGGTGACAGATGGGAGCTCACCCCGCTCCCTGGATTCGAACCGCCGACCTTTCAG